ACCAAACTAGAGGAGGAGGAAGGGAAAAGGATGAAAGCATAAATCAGCTCTCAGAGAAAAAACAAATATAAATGGTTTGTAGAACATATTAAAAGATGTTCGACCTTATTTATAATTAAGATATGCAAGTTAAAACCATGGAGCGAGGTTGAGGTCTTTTAATATGTCTATAAGCCATTTATAAATCTAGAATAGTGGCCGGCGCGGTGGCTCACGCCTATAATCCTAGCACTCTGGGAGGCCGAGGTGGGCGGATTGCTGAAGGTCAGGAGTTCAAAACCAGCCTAAGCAAGAGTGAGACCCCCGTCTCTACTAAAAATAGAAAGAAATTAATTGGCCAACGAAAAATATATAGAAAAAATTATCCGGCCATGGTGGCGCATGCCTGTAGTCCCAGCAACTTGGGAGGCTGAGGCAGCAGGATTGCTTGAGCCCAGGAGTTTGAGGTTGCTGTGAGCTAGGCTGACGCCACGGCACTCTAGCCCGGGCAACAGAGTGAGACTCTGTCTCAAAAATAAATAAATAAATCTAGAACAGTGCCCCCCTTTTACTCAAGCCATTGACATGTCAGTGCAGAAACTCTATAATTTATGGAAACAAATTTGCCAGTTTTTCTTTTTACAGCAAGACTTTAAGTTTTTGTTCAGAAAAGCCAACATACATTGAGATTATTAAACTTTTTGCCATGCTTTCTTCTAGTATATATTTTTTTACAGTTCTTTTACATTTTTCTCTTTAATCTATTTGGGAGTCAATTGTCCTGACACCCATCAGACCAACTGAAAAGGAATTGGGTCAAAACTCCATCTACTGCGTGACTTCCGTGAGCCCACTCTCCTGGGAACCCCGGGATGGCATTTCAGGTCTCCTGACACCAGCGTCAGCTCAGACCCCTATTTAACAATCTCTCAAAATTCTGGGTAGTCTCTTTTCCCCAGTGCACAGTGGTTCGATCAAATGACCATCGATCCCTCTGGGGGCAGGACCAGAGGGCCACTTACATCTATAATTGTGGTGGTAGGGGTTCCCCAAGGGGACACGGCCTCTCCTTCGATCAATGGATTTGCATCTGAAAACTGATTCAGGTCTGGAAACAGAGGAGGGACCATAATTTTCCGTTTCAGTGAGCATCAGTCTTTTGCCCAGCCTTTTTTTTTTTTTTTTAAATACAAATCAAATATCACCCTCAGGGATGGCCCATCTACCTCAAACCTAGCAAGACCATAAAAATTGTCAAGGCAGCCTAATTGCCCATTCTGGCCTTGCTGCCGCTTCCAGCAAATACATCTACCTTGCTGGCAGGTAAGTGCTGCCATCAGGCCTGTGCCGTTCAGGAATCCCGGCGTCCACCTTGACCTGGGAGTCCAGCCCCATGTTAGTATCTGCACCCATCGACCACAAGGGGGCATCTTGGAAATATCTCACTTCCCTGGTTTCTCTGGGCCTGTCTGGGCCTAGGCAGATGGGGGTTCTCAGGTCTAACGTAGTAAACCCATTCTCACATTCCTCTCTCCCTTACTTCGATATGGTGTCAAGGAAATTTTGGTATCTGCACCTAATTGTCGTGAGCAAGAGTCAAGGTTTTCAGGCTCATCTACCCAATGTCCCCAACCCAGGGCCCCACTCTTTCCCTAATGGGGCCGTGAGTTGGACAGGTGATCTATGGAGGCTGCACATGTGGCCTCCTTTGCCGGCTCTGTCGCCCTTACCACCACGTGCTGAGCCTGACTTTTAGCAGTTGGCCCTGAAGGTTCAGGAGATGAGAGTCTCTCCTTAAAAGCTGCCATAAAAAATTAGCCACCATGGTGGCACATGCCCATAGTCCCAACTACTCAGGAGGCTGAGGCAGGAGGATGGTTTGAACACAGGAGTTGAAGGTTGCTGTGAGATATGATGAGGCCACTGCACTCCAGCCTGGGTGACAGAGCCAGACCTTGTCTCTAAGTAAATAAATAAATAAATAAACTTTTAAAAAATGCTGTCTTACATCATGAGCTTAAGAAAATAAAAAAGCTGCCATAAAGCTTCCTGTGGCTTTTACATAACTAAAGTTGGCTGTTAGCTACCCTGAGCCTATTATTTTCTTTCTTTTGCAAGGTTTCAATGCTGTTAATAGAAGCTGGCCACTCTGATATACCCACACAACTACTATTAAACTTTAGTTGACTATCCTTCCATAATTTATATATTTTAAAAATTGAATTGTACATTATTGCTACCTTGCTTTTTTTTTTTTACATTCCGAAGATTGTATTAATAATAACCTAAACACAATAAAATTTTCAGAGCACCCTAAAAAAAAAAAATAGAAACTGGCCCACTCCACGTTTCTTATAATCATTATTGTCCCCATACCAATCAAATGCCACAGGCACCCACCCCTCTTCCCGGCCCAATTTCACCTCCCACCTGTCCCTTGCCCCAGTTAACTGCAGGTGAAAACCTTCGAAATTTTGATGCCACTTCATGCCAAGGGTTATCACAAGCCGCTTGCCACTAGTAATAGTGTCCCTACTGTCATCAGCACAGTAATCTGATTTCACAATGCTGTCCTGAGAGTCTTCTTGCCAGGTCCACTCCTGGGACCAGCTGTCTCGGGGGACAAATGGCATGGTGTGGCCATAAGGGCAGGTGCAGGGATTGTTTCTGCCTGCAGTCAGTGGGAGCCCAAGCCGAGTTGGTCACTAGAGAGAGGCTAGGCCAGGACAGGTCAAAGGCCCTGGAGGGCTGTGAGGCCGAGAGGCTCTGATGTGGCATTAAGAGATGTCTGATCCAAAGACGTGGATAGATTTTCTTTCCAAACGAGGCTGGCTCCATTTGCATTTATTGATGCGATATGATGGATGGGTTTGGTCGTCCTCCTGGCATCTCATTTTACACGATGCTTTCTCTCGCGCGCGTTCCTTTGTTTTGTATCTTTTGCTCTATGGTGTGTACATGGTTTCTTCAGGCTGTTTCACTGCATTGGTAGCAATGCCATGTCCTCTGGAACCTGCAGGCTTTGTCAGGACGAGACATGTCAGATATACAAAGATGGGATCTGATGCATAAAACCTAAGACTCTACACGCAAATGCACTCCCCTCTCTGATTGCTTTACTGCTACACATTTGTGTCCTGCACAGGAATCCTGATAAATTTCATTTGCCCGATGCCCATCAAAAGACAGGGAAAAGAAAAGTTGGTGTGTTTGTAACTACATGCACAGCTTTAGCGAGGATGTTTCTGAAAGCACTTTGATTTTCACTAGAGTAAGGAGAACCCTCCACTTACAATTTCACCTGTCTGATGGCCGGAAGAATTTTTTACACACCAGCTTCCGGTTCTTTATGTTTCACATCTTGTTCCTTCTCCAGAACCCACAAAGTCTCAGTGCCAGGCACTACAGGGCATGTTTCTACTGTGATGTGACCTCCGGCCCTGCTCCTCCATGTCACCCACTTTGTGCCCTGTTCCAGATAGGTCAGGACAGAGGGAGGTAGGGTGGTCCTGCCCCAGGCTGGCTAGCAATAATTATAGATGGAAAAGACTACAGACCACATAAATCTATCCCACTAAACATATCATAAGTCAATTCCCCACATCCATGCCCCACTCCACCATCACCTGACATGAGGCAAAGGAGAATACTGGGCAAAAAGAGCTGATGGTCTTAATTGGTTGAAGCAAAGCTGCCTTATCTATGAAAATTTTCCAAAAGCATGTGCCCATGTGGACACATTGTGAGATCCCGCCAACACTGGCCTCAGAAGGGGCCCAGGGAACTAACAAGCTTAAAGCTTAATCTTCTCTAGCTATGTATCTATCTAGTTTTGCTAGCAACATTTTAATAAAAAAAAAATTTAAAAGAAGATTTGGTAATAATGAAATCAGAGCAAGGGGAGTTGGTTGTAGGAATTGAATAGTGAATGGTGTTAATCTAAGATGACTTGATACCATCTCCCTGGTGTACCTTGTGGTTTATAATTTAATACAGAGATATTAATAAACTGCAAAATAGGTATAAGAAAGTCCAAAAAAGTTCTGTATCTCCCCCATGATAATTGATACTTTTTAGGAAATAAATGTCAAAATCTTTCAAAAAAAAGTTTTTTTTGGCTGGGCCAGGTGGCTCACGCCTGTAATCCTAGCACTCTGGGAGGCCGAGGTGGGAAGATCGCTTGAGCTCAGGAGTTCAAGATCAGCCTGAGCAAAATAGCAAGACTCTGTCTCTACTAAAAATAGAAAAATTAGCCAGGCGTGGTGGTCTGCGTGCCTGTAGTCCCAGCGACCCCGGAGGCTGAGGCAGCAGGATTGCTAGAGCCCAGGAGTTTGAGGTTGCTGTGAGCCAGGCTGACGCCACGGCACTCTAGCCCGGACAACAGAGTGAGACTCCTGCTCCCAGGCTTGGAGAATGCGCCTGAGGACTGTGACATATTTGGGCAAAGGGCACTGGGCAGCCAGGGAGGAATGGAACTGCGGGAAGAGGAAGGGAGGGCAATGCTATGTTTTGGGAGGGTCTCGCTGTCATTAAACTTTACAGCCTCTCTGATACTGACCTCATTTTACAGAGGAAGAAACGAGGGCTCAGAGAGGTTGGGGAGTTTACCAAGCTCACACAGCTGGGATTCAAACTTTGGTATGTCGTTGATCGACATCCGACTCCGACTCTTTCGTCACAGACCCCTGGGACTCCCCGCTCGGCCACTGCGGCACCCAGGTCGGGCTCAGCGGCAGCGTCTGCGCTGACCACCCAGCCCTCCCTAATGGCTGTTTCCTCTTCTCCTTTCCTGCCTCCCGGAATCCCGTCCTCCCAGAGCTGATCCTAAGGAGGACGTCCGGGCCTCAGTTTCCCCTCTGCGCGTGTGCTGGGGCAGGCATCTCCCCGCAGTAATAAGGGAGACGCCGAGAGGAGAGAAGGGCCGGGCTCCCTGCCGCCCCCGGCGTGCTGAGCGCCCGGCCCCGCGGCGCCTTTAACTCGCGCGGCGCCGGGATCCGCGGGCTGGGAGTCGCCGCCCCGCCCCGCCCCGCCCCGCCCCGCCGGCCCGCGCCCGGCCCGCACTCGGGACCATGAGCCGCATCTACCAGGACGGTGCGCTCCGGAACAAGGCGGTGCGCAGCGCGCGGCTGCCCGGGTGGGACCCCGCCGCGCACCAGGGGTAGGCTCCGCGCGCCCGGCTCCGCGCGCCCTGCACCGGGCGGGACGCGGGGGAGGGGCTGCGGGCTGCGGGGCTCCGGGCGCCCAGTCTCCCGGCGCCGAGCGGCCTGAAACCCTGCGCCCGCCGCGCGCCCGCGGGGGGCTCTCCCGACCTGGGCCCCGACCACGGCGCTTCGCCTCGCTCCGACCTCCGTCCCCGCCCCCCCCCACGGCCGTGACGCCAGCCCGTCACGCTGCTGCGCCTCGTGGCCTTTGCACAGGCCCGTGCCCTGCCCCGGGCGACGGCGGCGCGGTGTGGCCGGATCGGCGGGTGGGAGCTGGGCGGGCCGGCCGCAGGGCCTGCGGGAGCCCGTATGCGGATTCGGGGATCCCGAGGGCCGGCCCGGCCTCCCCGAGTCAGGAGAAGGAAGGGAGCATTCCATCTGCGTTACAGACGCTAAAGAATATGCCGAGTGACGCGAGCCGGGCGCAGAAGGACAAGTACTCTCTGACCCCACTTGCATGTGGGGTCTGGGAAAGTTGAACCACAGAGACGGAGCAGGGCAGTGGTCCCCCGGGCTGGGAGGCCGAGGAAGGGGGCGAAGGCGGCAAGGGGGTGTGGACCTTCCCCTGCAGGATGAACACGTTCTGGGGATCTGACGCGCAGCATGGGCGGTGACTGTGTGTTCATTAATGTGACTGTGGTAGTAATTACACAACGTGTACATATGTCAGGTGATCGCGTTGTGCACACCGACTCTATACAGCCTTTGCCAGTTAAATACTTTTAAAAAAGGATAGGGAGGGGCCGGGCGCGGTGGCTCACGCCTGTCATCCTAGCACTCTGGGAGGGGCCAGGCGCCGAATTGCTCAGGTCAGGAGTTCGAAACCAGCCTGAGCAAGAGCGAGACCCGATCTCTACTATAAATAGAAAGAAATTAATTGGCCAACTAATATATATGAAAAAATTAGCCCGGGCATGTGGCATGCCTGTATCCAGCCACTCAGGAGGCGAGGCAGCAGGATTGCTGAGCCCAGGAGTTTGAGGTTGCTGTGAGCAGGCTGACACCACGGCACTCACTCTAGCCTGGGCAACAGTGTGAGACTCTGTCTCAAAAAAAAAAAAAAAAAGGATAGGGAGGGTGGATAGAAGTTAAGGTAGTGGGAATTTTCACTTCCCACTGCCCCCCTTCCACCATCATCTTGGCTGATCCACCCCCTCTCCTGCTTCTGTGGCTTTGAAAAAGGAAGACCCAGGTTCTGCTTTTATGAAAACTGGAATCGGGAGGCCAGGGTCCAGTTCCTCTCGGGGAGGGACTGCGACCTGGGACTCGTCCCAGAACCTCTGAGCCTGGGTTTCTCCACCTTTAAAGTGGCAATCACCTTTTCCTTGGTTGGTGACCCCACGGCGTGAATGAGAACAGGAACACGGACGTATTTTAAAGCAAGTGAAAGGGAAGATCATTTCTAGCAGCTTAGACGCCTCCCTCCAAATGTGGCTGAATAGAAAAGTAAAATCTTGTATATTTAGTAAGCACTTAGTTCACAAAACACCTTCGCATGCGTGATCTGAGGTCAGCAGCAGAGGGGCAGAGAGAAGCGGCTGTTTCTCTCCGCGTTTTGTAGGAAAGACTGAGGCTCTGGTGACAGTGACTCCCAGTGGCCCTGCAGGAGGGGCCCATAGCTTGGTCTTAGCGCAGCCTGACGAGGTTCCTCCTGCCCTCTGGGCAGTGCGCCAGCCTTTGGGACCCTTGGAGGGATGGAGGCCCCTGTGTGGGGAGCACCGAGAAAGGGGCCGCTCAGGGCCAGGTACATCGGAGACGCGGGTGGGGTTTGCCTGTGGCTCCTTCCTGAGGACCGCAGAGCCAGCCATCCCTCCTGTCCCTCTCACCCCCAGGGGGAATGGCGTCCTGCTCGAGGGAGAACTGGTCGATGTATCTCGCCACAGCATCGAGGATGCCCATGGCAGGAAGGTGAGGATGCTGCCTCGGTGGCACCACAGGGCCCTGGCTGCACTGTCCTCCCCGGTTGAGGCATCTCCTGTGCGGGGCTCTTCCGGTGCCAAGACTTGGGGTCCAGCCCCCTCCCGGATGGGCTCAGAGGGCAGGCGGGAAGCGGCTGGGGAGATCGGCGGCCAGACGGGACCCCGGGTGGAAAGGGAGCCGCAGGGTGTGCTGGGCAGCACAGACCCGGGGGAGGACCTGGGTTCTTGCCAGAAGAGTCTGATCACAGCGGGAAAGACAGACCAGACCCGACACGACACCCAGTCTAGCCTGGATGTGAAGCCTACATTGCTGACACTGGGCTTCAGGTCCCATGTCGATGTCCCGGCTACCTTTGTCCTCTCAGTCTCCCGGGGCCATGCTCGGTGCCACCAGTGACCCCATCTCAGGTGCTTGCAGGTATACCTGCCGTTCACCATCTTGTCCTAGCTTGCGTCTCTGTTCTGAGCTCCCACCCCATTTTCCAATGGCCCGAGCTAGATGTGCTGACCGCCTTATCTCACTGGTGTGCAAAACTGAGCTTGGTCTCTAAAAATGCCCTCTTGAGGGGGCCAGAGGCCTGGTGCTACGTGAACCCCACGTTTCTCTCCTGTATCCCGTGGGAACAGCCTTAGCTCCCAGTTCACCACTATTTTCATGTCAAGAGATGCTTTGCTGCACCGTCCCCTCCTTAGCAGGCAAGCTGGAGGGGGGCACACAGTGTGGAGCCCCCGGCCGGCCCGTGTGCGGGGCCCGCAGTAGCCGCATGCCGGCATGGGCTGCCCGCCGCGGCTGCTCTCGCACAGGCAGGGTGTTTCCCAGCCCCTCTCCAAACTGGCTCCTGGTGACGGTGCAGTCGCCCCCAGCCACCAGCCTGCAGAGCCCCTCTGCTCGCCTCCCCCCTGCCCCAGGTGAGCAGTGCCGCGTCCTGCTGGGCTCCTGCCTTGCCCTTTCCTTCCTGTCCCTTCCCTTCCTCTTTCCACGTCTGCCCACTCAGATGGGCCCTCGGCCTGTCCTGACAACACCTGCCCTCCTGCCTCTGGCTCCCTTAAAGCTCATCCCTGCCCTGCTTCCCAGTTGTCTCTGGAAAGCCATCTCTGAGGGACTTGCTGCTGCTCACGCACCTTTCAGGACTCCTCGTCTGCCAGATAAAATCCAAACTCCAAATGCCAGCTCAAGGCCTGTCTCAGACTCATCCCACTTGCTTTCCCAGGCTGGGCTCCCGCCGGCCTCCTGCTCTCACGTACCTGACCGGGGCTTTCAGTATTCTCCCTACACCCTCACTCTCACGGGGGCAGCTCTCTGCATCCTCCAAGACGTCACCTTCCTTGTTTCCCCCAGGAAGCGGCCTCCCTGCTCCAGCCTCCGGGGGCATTTCTTCCACCCACTTGGATCAGAATAGCTGGCGGACAGCACTCACAGCACACTTCGTACTCGGCACTGTGCTGGCTCCTCTGTTATCTCGTTGAACCCTTAGGACATTCCTGAAAGTGGGCCTCACATTGTCCCCATATGGCAGGGGAAACTGAGGCTAAGAAGGCTAGGAGAGGTTTGCCCTGGGTGCTGCGTCTGCTGGAGGGCAGAGTGGCTGCCCTCACTCAGGCCCCTTCCGTGCCCTTCCCACGGCACCTTGCCAGCGCCCACTCCTGCCTTATGGCATTTGTGGTCCTTGGTTCCTGCGTTGTGGTTTTCTGTATGTATTTTTTGTCTCTGGCCGTGTGGAAGCCTTGGGCTCAGGGCCTGTGCCCACCCCGGCCGGCATGGACTCCTCGCACAGCTCAGTGTGCGTGGCAGGTGTTCTTAGAACTCACGAAGGAATGAGTTTTGAGTGGGGCATTTGCGTAGCCTGAACGTCTTTTGGAGCAGAGGCGGGCTTCGGGCAGGGCAGCGGCCAGAGCCCGGGGTGCGTGTGCTGGGTGGGTGGAGCGGCCCTCACTCTCCGTCTGCCTGGCCCCAGGAGCGCTACTACGTGCTGTATATCCGGCCCGGCCTCATCCACCGCCGCAAATTCAACCCCAAGGGAGATGAAATCGAGCCCAACTTCAGCGCCACCAGGAAGGTGAACACGGGCTTCCTCATGTCATCCTACAGTAGGTACCCTCTGCCCTTCCTGCCGCGGCCCCTCCTGCAGCCTGGCCTGCCTTTGTCTCCTGGGTCTCTTGGTCCCTGGAGAGTGTCTTCTCAGCATGGCTGGCCTGGAAGCTGGTGTCTGGCCTGGGGCCCCTGCCTGGGCTCCTCCCTGCCTCCCGTCCCACAGAGGATCGCCGTTGCCCAACCTCCGTCCCAGGGGCCAGGCTGGCCTTCCTGTCCCCTGGTGTCTCTTGTGGTCTGACAGAGTCGTCCACAAACGTGGCTTTGGGCTCTGTCTGCCTTGCCACAGAGCCCAGGCCAGGCCCCCAGCAGTCTTCATTTTACTGCCAAAATCCTTGTCTGGTTCTTGGGCCCTATCTTGGTCCATTTGGGCTGCTATGACAAAGTGCCTTAGGCTGGGTCATTTATAAACAGACATTAGGTGCTTGCAGCTCTGGAGGCTGAGAAGTCTGAGGTCAAGGTGCCAGCAGGTGAGGGCTGTCCGGGGAGGGCTTGTGCTCTCTGCTGGAAGGATGGTGGCTTCTTGCTGTGTCCGTGCATGGCTGAAGGGCCAGGTGGCTCCTTCCACCTGCTCATAAGGGCAGAGTCCCACGTGTGGGCGCCCTGCCCTCAGACTCAGCCACCTGCCTCCTAAAGGCCCCACCTTTTAATGCTGTTGCATTGGTGATTGTTCCAACACGGGAGTTTGGGGGGGCATTCAGACCACTGCAGGCCCTCCATGGTCTTGCTCTTCTTCCCAGCTTTGTCTATAGTAGGACCTCTTTGCTGCCTGCGCTTTGGAGGTTGAGTGGGAGTCTGTCGTGTTACTCGTCCATGCTTTCAGTTGCTCATGGCTTCTCTGAACATTTAGTGAGCACCTCCCATGCACCAGGCTCTGTGCCAGGCGCTGAGGGTCCAGGGACAAGCAGGACTCTGGAGGTGTGCTCAGCCTGGTAGAGGAGATGGAAGGGCCCTGCTGTTATGGTAACCTACGACAGGTGAAAAGGCTGGGACCGAGGACCCGTCGGCAGGGGTGGGGAGTCAGGGCCAGCTCGAGCGGGAGGAGGCACAGTGGCCTCAGTGTTGGATTTCCTATTGGGGAGGGAGAGGGATGGGATGACTCAGGGAGCCAGGTGGGGTGCCAGGCTGGGTTGGGGGCAGTTGGAGGGGCAAGAGGAGCAGGTCTGGGGAGAAGAGTTCCATTTGGGACACACTGAGTTGGATTTGCTGGTGGCACTTCCAGACAGAGGTCCTTTGAGGACTTGGAGGCACAGTTCTAGAGCCTGGGGCAAGGGCTGGGCTGCAGCACGTTAGAGTATGGAAGCGAAGGGAGTCGATGAAGTTGGCCAGGAGGAGAAAGAAGTGGGCCAGGAGGTCATCTTGGGGAACAGCAATGAGGTGGACAGGGGCAGGAGGCCCTTGAAGAGGTGAGGGACACAGGGAAGGTGTCCCTGAAGCCCAGTGAGGCCCCGGGGAACAGGAGTGAGGAGCTGGCAGTGGGGTCAGGTGCTTCCCTGGATCAGTAAGATCCAGAATATGGAGCATCCAAGGGGTTTGCCAATTAGGAACTCACTGTGACTGCGGAGGGGGGCAGCGTGTGGAGCAGTGGGTGCCAAGGCCAGAGCATGAGGCCGGGAGGAAAAGCCAGGGAGTGGAGGGAGAGACAGGTCCTGGGGGCGTGGGAGGAGTCTGGAGCCCTCATGGGGAACTGGCTTGAGGCAGGAGGAGGACTTCTGGCCTTTGAGACTGACGGGGAGGAGAGGTTTCGCGGGGTTGGAAGTGAGCTGACAGGTAGGTGGTGGCAGGGAAGTGAGAGGCTCCACCTGTGACTTCTGTCCTCTTGCAAAGTGGGTGGGCCGACTTGTCACAGGGAAGTTGGGCAGAGGCTGGAGCACGGAGCTCTCCTCTAGGCCGGCTGTCCCCTGGGCAGTCCCAGAAGGCGTCCCTGGCAGAGCGTGGCCGAGGTCGTACGCCGTGAATGGAATGTGGTCCATGGGATGTGCTGGTGGGCCGGCTGGGAGGTTCTCCAACGGAGCGTGGCCACCTGGCGTCGGGGCGGAGAAGGCAGCCTGTCGGAGCAGCCCATGGGGTTGCCATGGGGGTGCGGCCCTGCACACCTTCATGCGGCCTCAGCCCCGAGGGAGCACCCCCGGCTGGGAGGCTGCACTCACCGTGTAGTCTGCGCCAGCACCTGCAGATCCAGGACTCAGGTTCCTCCCTGAGCGGGTGAGCTCTGCCAGGGCCAGTAGAGGAGGGGGACTACCAGCGTTTACTATTGTTCCTGCTGAGCCCGCCCCAGGCAGGGAGGCCCCCAGAGCCTGCAGAGAACCCTGCCTGGTCACTGGGGTCTCAGTGGGAAGTTAGGATCTCATAGGGGGGTGGTTTGAATCCTGCCTCCTTCACTGCTGTGTGACCTTGAGCTAATTACTTAACCACTCTAAGCCTTGGTTTTTCTCATCTATAAAATGGGAATGATGACAACATATTAACACTCCCAATCTGTACCCCCATAATATGCCGAAATAAAAAAAAAAGACCCACTCCCCGAGGGCTTACTGTGTGCCAGGCACTGTGCTAAGTGCTTTATATTCTTTATTTCACTTATACCTCCTGTTCCTATCAGGTGGACATCGATTTTACCATATTTTACAGGTACAGAGAGGTTAAGTAACTTGCCCGAGTTACCGTAGAGCCCCGATCTGCAGCAGGCAGCCAGGCTCCAGAGCCGGGCAGCACCTGTGGTGCTAAGGAGGTGGCTGATGGGTCCCGGCAGAATGGGTACTGAGAGCGGGAAACACTCAGCCCTCGCCTGGCTGCTACCAGGCCTCAGTCACGTTGGCCATCGCCACGGCGATCAGGCCCCTGTGCTGTGTGCCTGCAGAGGTGGAAGCCAAGGGGGACACCGACAGGCTCTCACCCGCGGAGCTGAAGGAGCTGGTGGACAAGCCGGAGCTGCTGGCGCTGACCGAGAGCCTCGCCCCCGAGCAGACTGTGGCCTTCTGGATGCCCGAGTCAGACATGCTGGCGATGGAGCTCGAGCTCGGGGCCGGGGTGCGGCTGAAGACTCGGGGCGATGGCCCCTTCCTGGGTGAGCAGGGCGGCCTCACTCTGGCCTGATGCTCCTGTGTGGGCCCGGGGCTCCTTCTCAGGCTCCCCACCCCTCCTGCTCAGAGCTCCTGGGAGCAGGCCAGGTGTGGCCTCCACCGGACACAACTAAGCCCTTGAGTTTGTTCCTAGATCCCCGGACAAGCACCCTGGGGCCATTAGGCTGGACACCCTGGATCCTGGCTTACCACCCAATTCCATGGTTCCTGTGGGTGACCGCTCCCCACTGTGCCTTGGGGGGCCCAGCCAGGGCCTCACTGACCACCCCTAGGCCTGGAGAGAACAATGGCTTAACCACGGCCTAGGGGACCCTGCCTGAGTGGGCCTGGTCCTCACTATGTTTCTGCCACGGGGACAGAGGACATTCAACTTCTTTTCTTCTTTCAGAGTCATTGGCCAAACTTGAGGCTGGAACAGTGACCAAGTGTAATTTTGCGGGTGATGGAAAGACAGGGGCGTCCTGGACAGACAACATCATGGCCCAGAAGTCGTCAGAGGGGGCCAGAGCGGAGATCCGAGAGCAGGGGGACGGGGCAGAGGACGAGGAGTGGGTAGGTCTCGTACCTGGTGGTGTGTGCGGTTATACCTTTGTGCGTACTGGTTGAGGCTGGGGGTAGGACGAGGAGACAGCAGGATACATCTTATCCCCAGCTTTGGTGGAATTCTGTGGAATTCCTGGGAGTGTGTCAGCGTCAGGAACATTCCTGCAAGATATGAAGGGTGGCAACGTGGGCCCTGTCTTGTTGGTGGGTTTGAACGGTGCCTGTGTACACAGATTTATAAAAGCCAGTAATGGGCAGGAGGGCTGCAGAGGGAACTGGTGACGGTAATTAAGTCTCAAGACATTTGCCCTGTGAGGGAATACACTGGCCACCCTGAGGCAGCTGGGCCGCCGCATGAGTGTTTGCTTCTCCGTCAGGGCTTCTTGCCTGAGGTGGCGGGGAAATGGCGGACATGGCCCTGACTAGCTTCGCTTCTGCCCAGGGTCAGCCCTGAGCTGCTCCTCAGCCTGGTCACAGCTGTCTTTCTGAAGCATAGTGTACCTGAAGACTTGAATTGATGTCAAAACACCCCAAATGGAACATTTGAAGCAAAGTGACAGAAAAATGGGCTCTTTGTCTAGGTGTGGGGGAGGGGGGGCACTTCAGCCAGAGGAAGCAGGGCAGGCAGACTGAGCGTCTGGACTCATGTCCACCTTAATAAAGAGATCCTTGGACTGAAGAAGGGTTGGGGCTGCCGGGCCAGCTCTGAGGAGGTGGGGCCAAGGCAGGTGGCCCGGGCCCCACAGGTACCACAAGATAGAGCCCTGGTTTGCCTGATGGCCTTTAGGATATGTCCTCTGAACATGTCTTTCTACTTTACTCCTTGAATTTCTCTAGGACGACTGAGCTTAGTGGGACCAGGATGCCTCCGGGGCCCGCTGGCACCTGGTGAGAATTTCTCCCGTGACTTCCCCTCTGGACCTGGAGACAGCAGCCCGCCAAGCCCGGTTCTTCCCTGCAGCCGCCTCGGAATGAATACCCTCTGGACAAGCCCTGCCAAAACCAAATGCAAGACCACAACGACAGCCTTGCCAGTGGGGCCCCATGCTGTGTGGCTCATGGGGGGCCCCTCCCTAGATGGAGTCTAGCCTTCCTAGATGTTGTCATGGCGACCTTGGCCTGGAAGGCGGCCTCGATTCTGAAGGCCGGTGGCAGGCAAGTCCCGCAGCGCAGTGTGAGAGGAACTGGACTTGGTCTTGGTGCAGACCTGGGCAGCGTCTAGATGCAGAGTGGCTCAGGGGAGAAGATAGCGGGCTCCTTCCTTTGTTCTCGCTGTTTCTGCTTGCCTCCCTCACCCGCCCCCTCCTCAGCACTCTGTGGCCTCTGCTGTCCCGCTTCAAAACTCCAGGTCCTCTGTGCCTTGCCCCCACCCAGCGGCCAGTTCTTTATTCCTCCCCCAATATCATGCCACTGCAAAGGTGCTGTCGTCTGACCTCCCTGCTGCCCTCCTGGGTGCTGTTCCCGGGGAGGCCAGCAGTGCTCACAGGCAGGCGGGCTGGCCGCACCTCGCAGACTCACTCTGCCGGGCCACATTGTGGAGGATACCTTTTTGTTGTTGTTTTGTACCTTGAAGATTCATTTTTATGAATGAGTAAATCTCCAGAAAAGAATTCCTCTGCACTGCCTGGGTTATTGCTGGGTGTAAACGGTCTTTCAGCTGAGCCCTGTCCCCATAAGAAGGAAGCCATTTCTCCTTGGTCATGAACATTGCCTTGTTGAGACGTGTGCCCACACCCAGACCTGTGAAGAGGCCTGGAGTTGAAGGTCCTAAGGACTTGGTGGCATGTGGATCCTGCTTGGCTTAAGAAAAAGAGGATAGTGGTGAACCAACAATTATCGAGCCCCCTTAGTGTCTCAAATATGGAGCCAGAGGCTTTCTGTGATGATAACTACAGCCCCTAACTGTTGAGTGCATCTAGGTGCTAAGCACTTGTGATATCTTACTTAATTATCACAACAGTCCCAAGGAGGTACATGTGATTATTATCCCCATTTTTTCATATGAGACTAACACTAGAGGCTCCATGGATAGTGTATAGAGGAGAGAAGAATTTAAACCCAGGCGGTTTCAAGGCCTGTGTTCTTAACCACTGGACTGTTCTGCTTCCACATGCATGTTATAGAAGAGGAAAAGAGGTTCAACTTGCCCCAAGTCACACGGCTAATAAGTGGCAGAACCAGGATTTAAATCCAGAGCTGTGAAGGGCAAAGCTTATACTCCTTCCATGGCCTACAGAAGGGTCTTAGGTACAGGGACCAAAGGATATAGTAGCCACCTCTCTAGTATCCTGTGTCTAAATGTGGCTGTCTCATAGGCAGAGCATACTGGGACCTCAACTCTGGGGGTGGTCAGGGAGGTGGCTGAGCAGGAGGGGAACTGGGGACACTGATTAGGGGTAGAGTCACCCAGTGGGGGCATCCTGCTGTCCATAGCACTGTGGCCAAAGGGTATGGCAAACTCATATGGACAAACCACCATTATAAACAAGGAGGCCCAGTGTGTCAATGGGGCAGGTCCTAAGGCCACAAAAAGGGCTTAGTGTCTTGGAGGGGCTCCGGGAAGGGGCAGGCCATTGTGGCGAGAGCTCAGAGAATGAGTGCAGGGATGCGTGTTTGAGATGAGGCTGGAGCTCGGGCATGGCATCTTGAGGCATGTTAAAGAATTGGGGGCTTTATCCTTAACATCCTGGAAGCCAGTGGTCCCATGGAGAGTGAGAAGATCTGATTTGTATGTTTCAAAGATCACTTGACTGCTGAGAAACTGGAGGCAATGAGCTCATTTAGGAGACTGTTACAAATGGGTGGGAGGCTGGAGTGGTCTGGTGTACAGAAGTGGCAGGCGAGATGGAATGAGAATGATGGCTTGAGGGACATTCAGGGGCTAGAATCAACAGGATCTGGGGAGAGAGGGAGGGTCAAGAATGATGCCCAGGCTCTAGGTGAATGGAGGCGGTGCAGTGTGTAAGCAGGAGCCCAGCCTATGGCTAGGAAATGTAGGGAGCTGAAACCAGCCCCCTGGGGATGGGAAAGTCACTGCATGGGCTGGGGATAAGGACAAGGTTCCAGGCTCAGCAGGTAGGGAAACTGAGGCAAAATCTCATTCCCTAGGATTAGGAAGGGAAAGGATGGAAAGCCGCTCAGAGGCTGCACGGGCACGCAGGGCTCATCCTGGCACCCTGGATAGAAGACCCAGTGACAGCAAAACTGTCTCAAACTCCACTGAAGATGGTGAGGCCAAAGCTCCCGATTTCGTCATCCCTCTTGCCCTGCCCGGGACGGGCATTAGGCAGGCCTAGCCAGCGGTAGTTGACACATCTATGGGGAGCTGAGGAAATGAGGCAGGGGTGACCAGGGTTCCCCAGATGCCCCAGCGTGGCTGCCAGGGCCAGCTTCCTGAAACCAGACTGCACCCCATTACTCCCCAGGTGAAAAGTTCAAGTTCCTTAACACAACTCATAGAGCTCCTCACAATGTCACCACCCTCCTTTCTCTACTCGCTTCCTCTTCATGAGCTCTGGGCCGTATTCCAGAGCAGCCGGAAGGATCTTCTGCAGGTTAACACATGCCGGAAACAAAGAGCAGTGGTGGTGGTGTTTCTGTGATCTGATTTGTTGGTACAACGTTAGATTCAATAAACATTTCTGTAGAAGTTCTCAGAGCTTTTAATATGCTAATATTTTAACTCTTCAAGACAGGGTATGATATGATTCTATATCTCCCATATTTATTTGACCACAGAAACCTTTCTTTGTGAGGAGCATCTCATGGGACAGCTGTTCTGAGAAACCTGGTTTTTTTGAGACAGAGTCTTGCTCTGTTGTCCAGGATAGAGTGAGTGCCGTGGCGTCAGCCTAGCTCACAGCAACCTCAAACTCCTGGGCTCAAGCGATCCTCCTGCCTCAGCCTCCCGAGTAGCTGGGACTACAGGCATGCGCCACCATACCCGGCTAATTTTTTCTATATATATTAGTTGGCCAATTAATTTCTTTCTATTTATAATAGAGACGGGGTCTCGATCTTGCACAGGCTGGTTTTGAACTCCTGACCTGGAGCAATCCGCCCGCCTCGGCCTCCCAGAGTGCTAGGATTACAGGCGTGAGCCACCACACCTAGCCAGAAACCCGGTTTTAAAAAGGCTGCCTTGGTCCCACAGAGGGGCTGGCCATTTCCCCCTCCATTGCTCAGCTGGGACTCTTGTTGGGATGTCCCTTTCTTCTGTCTATCTGAGTTTCTATTCTTCCTCCAACATTGAGTTTGCCTCCCATCCCTGGGGTCAATGATGGAAATGGACAATTATTTTATATCTTCAGATAGACGCAAGCAAATCCTCTGCACTTCCATTCATAGAGGAAGAAATTTTGAGGGATTAAACTAATCTGCATAAATAGCAATGCACTTCGAAAATATATTTAAAGAGGAAAGAAAGACTCATAATTTCAGTCATGTTTATAATTTTTAGTGTTTTGGGTTTTTAATATGCAATTTCTGCACAGAGTCATTGTAATACTATGCCCACATATAAAATTTTATATTACTTTTTCAATTAATGTTACATAATCACTTTCCATGTTGCTTCATAGTCATTATAATCACTACTTTTTAAGATTGGCTACCATTGAATAGTTCTATCATAGCCCAATTTTTGGATACTTACATTGATCATTAGGTAATACAGTTAATGTTTCAAAAAATGTTGAAAATGATATAGTTCTGTCAACGACGCCCTACACACACACACACACACACACACACACTATCTTTTTGGGTTATTTCTTTAAGAACAGATTCCCAGGAGTCAGATGACTAGGAATCCATGAATCTTTTGTAAAGTTCTTGTTATACTGCAAAATTGCTTCCCCAAAGGGTTGTTCTAAACTATAATTTCACCAGCAATGTAGGTGAGAACCATTTTCATGCTACCCTTGTCAGAATTGGGTATGAAAACATTTTTTAAACATGTTATTTGAGAATGTGAAAATAATACTTTAATATATTTTAATTTGCCTTTA